AGCCTGAGCACGTTCAGCGGTCGCCTTTGGATGGGCAGCTGCTGGGAACCCAAATCGGCCCCATGATATGCGCGACGGTGGGGCGAGGTGCGCCACGCGTGCCAGGCGCGCCACGCGCGCCAGGTGCGCCAGGCACACCTGGGGCCAAACGTCTGGTGCGCCAGATGCGCCACGTTCTCCATGTGTACCGCGTGCCCCGGCCGCGCCAGGTGCGCCACGTTCGGGGCACGCGCAGAGTGTACCGGGTGCGCCCGAGAACGTGACAGCCCGCATCCGGAAACATGTCGCCACCCCCACCATCCTTGCCGAAAATTGCGCAGTCGCGGCGGGGTGACCATCTTGGTGTCTGGTGGGCCTGCACACAGGCAATATGCCAGCACCCCGGCCGTCCCTGTCCAAAACCAGAACGGCCAATGATCACGGGGTGGCTGCGCATGAGACAGATTTAGCCGCCAAGTGCGCCGTGTATGGTTTTTGTTGACGGGAATGGTGGCCATGCGTGCAGCATGCAATATGCTGGCATCCTCGCTGTCCCCTCCAAAAAGCAAGGCAACGTGTTCGCGAGGCCCACGACCATGGCCCAAGAGTTTCCCCCCGAGGGTAATTTGGTGTATTGTTCCTAACCCTCCTGTGCTGGGTTCTCGTCTTGAGTAGGTCGCCGTGGTCGAGTCTCCTCCCCCTCCTCTCCTCCCCCCTCCCTCGCCTCCTTCTCCTTCTCTTCCCCTCCTCCCTCTCCCCCTCCTCTCCTCCCCCTTCTCTCCTCTCCTCCCCCTCCTCTCCTCCCCCTCCCCTCTCCTCCCCCTCCCTCCTTCCTGCCCTCTGCCCCTGTCGTGGGCTCCCGGGAGGGCCAGCGTGCGCTCTCCTGTCGTTGGCTCCCAGGGAGGTCCAGCGAGGTGGAGGGGCACGCGCAGCCTTCGTCGCCTCTCGTGGGCTCCTGGGAGGCCCAGCAGACGGGAGCTGTAAACACCCAGGGCGCCCTCGAGGGCGCGAAGTCATTCGCGCTTCGCGCTTCGCGGTTCGGCTCGGATTCCTCATCCTCCTCTCCTCTCTTGGGAGGCGGCGCGAGAGCGCGAAGTTATTCGCACTTCTCGCTTCGCGCAGCGCGAAGCGCGAAGTTCTAAGTTGGGAGCCCTTGAAACACACACTCAGCCGAGAGAGACCTCGATGCTCCCCGTGGGGCTGCGAAGTGCGCACCCGCCGCCACCTTCGTGGGCCTCCTGGGAGGCCCAGCTGGAGTGGAGCTGTAGACGCACACTGTCGAGACCTCGTGGTTCCCTGGGTGGCTGCGAACTGCGCAGCCGTCGCCACTCTCGTGGGCTCCTGGGAGGTCCAGCGGGGTGGAGGTGTAAATGCACCTAGCCGAGACCTCGCAGTTCCCTGGGCGGTTTCGAACTGCGCGATTGTCGCCAATTTCGTGAGCTCGTGGCTGGGTGCAATTGCTTGCAACCCAGAGTGAGCTCCGCCAAGGCTCCTGCGGCAGGGTCCGCAGTGTTACAACGGGCTAAGGCCGGACCATGCGCCAGGGCGTGATTGTCGACGCCGGGTGTAAGGATGCCGACGACATGGGCGGCCCCTGGCTCCGCCTGTACGTCATGCTCTCGAGAGGGCGACGACATCGGACAACTTTCTCATGATGCGCGACCCGGGCCTCGATTTTTTGTCCGGGGGGCCGCTGGCGGACTTTGCCGCGCGCCTCTGGACGTTTGGCGCCCGTACTGAATGTTGCAGGAAGGCGGCAGAGAGGCTGGCGCGCGGGTTCGGTCCGGAGCAGTTCCTGCACGACCGAGGGAAACAGTCGCCTGCGGTGTCGGGCGAGTTCGCGGTCATTGTCGCCAGCGCCTCGCTGGCGCAGGCGGCTACGAGAGATGCAACTGACGGCGACTCTTCGCATCCAAAATGGCCTGGGTTCCCATAGCGCGCGGCGGCGCCCCGTCGCGCAGCGCTCGGCGGTGCCCCGCGCCCCCAAACCGAACGTTGACGGTCTGGCTTGCCCAGGCGCAGGGCAGACGGATGGCGATTGCGACGGCGTGCCGTCCGAGCTGAAGACTCGAAGAAGAAGAGAAATGAGCAATCTGCATGTAGCATGCGCATGATATTCGGGAGCTCCGAGACCCCTCCTGGCGGCGCCTCCCGCACCGCCTCTGGCGCGTTCCGCGCGCCAGGGAGTGTGGTCCAGCGCAGATTCAAGAAATCCGCGCCGACTCTCGACGTCAGATACCTGAAGAATTATTGATTCATTCATTATCCGTAAGGGCTCCGCCCCCCGCCGCCGGCCCCCTCTCTCGGAGAATGGGCCATGGAAAAGCGAAGTCATGAGGCTTTGGCTTCGCCCTGAAGCAGTGTCGGGGCCTGATTGTTTTTCGACCCTGACCCTTCCGATCTGCGTGAAGGGTACCGCCGAATTTCAGACATGTGGCAAATCCCCTGTGTTTTTGGACCCTGACCCCGCCGATCTGCATGAGGGGTGCCACCGAATTTCAGGAATGTGGCAAATCCTTTTTGTTTTTGGACCCTGACCCCGCCGATCTGCGTGAGGGGTGCCATCTAATATCAAAAATGTAGCAAATCCCTTCTGTTCTTGGACCCTGGCCCCGCCGATCTGCGTGAGGGGTGCAAGGGAACTTTATACATATGGCGCATCCCCTATGTTTTTGGACCGTGGCCCCGCCGATCTGCGTGAGGGGTGCCACCGAATTTCAGGAATGTGGCAAATCCTTTTTGTTTTTGGACCCTGGCCCCGCCGATCTGCGTGAGGGGCGCCATGGAATTTCAGGAATGTGGCGCATCCCCGGTGTTTTTGGACCGTGACCCCGCCAATCTGCGTGAGGGGTGTCAGGACATTTGATACATGTGGCGCATCCCTGTGTTTTTTGACCCTGACCCCGCGGATCTGCGTGAGGGGTGCCACCGAATTTTAAACATGTGGCGCATCCCTGGTGGTTTTGGGCCCTGACCCCGCCGATCTGCGTGAGGGGTGCAACCGAATTTCAGACATGTAGCACGTCCCCTGTGTTTTTGGACCCCAGCCCCGCCGATCTGCGTGACGGGTGCCACCGAATTTCAGGAATGTGGCAAATCCTTTTTGTTTTTGGACCCTGACCCCGCCGATCTGCGTGAGGGGTGTCAAGTTTTACCCGCCCCAGCAATTCAGACAATACGCTTTGGGCGTGGTAAAAATGTTCGTTTTGGGCCCCCCCCCTCGCGCGGTCCATCAACAAGGAACAGTAAGCAGCGAGAAGTCAACAAGGAACAGTACGCAGCAAAAAGCAAACATGTAACAGTGGAAGCTGGAAGCTGCAACTGGTACAGGAAACTGCGAACCTCACCTCCGGCCTGCAGCCTGGTGGCCCCGCAAGGGGGCCGGCGGACATCTCCCCTGGAGTGGCAGAAGCTACTATCAAGGAAGCTTAGTGCACATAGAAGCGCTGAGTAATATGGTAAATTCGTTGGTGTCGAACACTGTACTGATACCTTTTGACGAGGATATCGACGACGACAAGTATGACGATTGGGGCAGATGCGATGTTTGTCGATGTCGTATTACGCTGACGATGTTTGTCGACGACGTGGATGATGACGACGATGGTACCGACGAAATGATACATGGCAGTGCCGATGACTACGCTTCTGATGCTGATGGCATATGGACTAGGACGAGGAGGGGAGGAGGAGGAGGAGGAGGAGGAGGAAATGGAGGAGGAGGAGGAGCAGGATGATGATGATGCTGATGATGATGATGATGATGATGATGATGATGATGATGCTGATGATTATGATGATGATAGTGATGATGATGCTGATGATGATGATAGTGATGATGATAGTGATGATGACGATGATGATGCTGATGCTGCTGCTGCTGCTGATGATGATGATGGTGATGCTGATGATGCTGCTGATGATGATGAGGATGATGATGATGATGATGATGCTGATGATGATGATGATGGTGGTGATGCTGATGATGATGATGATGCTGATGATGATGATGATGATGATGATGCTGATGCCGATGCTGATGATGAGGACTATGAGGAGGAGGAGGAGGAGGAGGAGGAGGAGGAGGAATAATGGGAAGAATAATAATAATGATAAGCAGAAGACGAATAATAATAATAATAGTAATAATAATAATTATTATAATAGTAATAATAACAATAATAATCATACTCATAATAATAATAAACATAAAAAGAAGAATAATAAGAAGACTAAGAAGACTAATAATAATACTAACAATGATAATGATACTACTACTACTAGGACTACTACTACTACTACTACTACTACTACTACTACTACTACTACTACTACTACTACAAATATTCATAATACTAATAACGATAATAATACTAATACTAACGATGATGATGATGATGATTATCATAATAATACGAATATGACTAATAATACTACTATTACTACTACTAATAATAATATTAGTAATACTACTAATACTAATAATACTACTAATAATACGACTAATAATACTACTACTAATAATTATATTAATAATAATAATAATAATAATAATAATAATACTAATAATACTACTAATACTAATAATACTAATACTACTACTGATAGAAAGTAATAATAACAATACTAAGAACAATACTAAGAGGAATATTACTAATAATACTTAATAAGAAAATAAAAAGAATAAGAGGAGGCGGAGGAGGAGGAGGAGGGGGAGGAGGAGGAGGCGGAGGAGTAGGAGGAGGAAAAGGGAGGAGGAGGAGGAGAGGAAGGAGGAGAGGAGGAGGAGGAGGAGGAGGAGGAGGAGGAGGAGGAGGAGGAGGAGGAGGAGGAGGAGGAGGAAGAGGACGAGGAGGCGGAGGAACAAGAGGAAGGGAAACATGGGGAGGAGCAAGTGGAGGGGGCCGAGGAGTGTGAGGAGGATGGGGAGGCGTGGGAGGATGAGGAGGAGGAGGAGGAGGAGGATAGGAGGGGGGGACGGACGAGGAGGTCGAGAGGAGAGGTTAGGGCGCGCTCCCCAGGTACCTCGCCTCGGCGACGAGAGTAGCCCTGCGGCTGAAGCGAGGCGAGGGGGGTCCGCCGAGCAGGGGATCGTAGAAGAGGTGTCGGGCTTTGCCTTGCCAGCTTTTCGTGGAGTGTGCGGGGGGGAGGGGGAGGGTGAGACACGACGGACGGGCAGGATGGAGGTCCTTTCACTGCTTGGGGGTCCAGTCTGGGCCGCCGTGGGCCCCCCCCCCACGGGCCTCCTGGAGTCCAGACCCGTATGGGGGTCTTGCCGGGGAGCTCCAGAGGCCTCTGGAGAGCTCGTGCTGGGCTCCCTCGCCTGGAACCTCTTTGGGGGGAGGGGGCCTCTTGGGGGGAGGCGGGGTGTGGGGTAGGGGGGGATAGGGGGGGGCGGAATGCAGGGGGGAACGGCGGGGGGCGGAGAGCGTGGCTTGGCGGGGGGGAGCGGGGGGAAGCGGGGGGAAGGGGAGGGAGCGGAATGGCGGAGAGAGAGAGAGAGAGAGAGAGAGAGCGGGTGAGCTCTGGCGTTCTCGAGGAGACGAAACACGGATTAGGGCGTGTGAAGTATCGACGGGCCTTTCTTTCCCCGATCCGTGTTAGCGTGCTCCTGACGTTCGCGCGGCAGGGCGGGCGGGTTTGGGGGAAAGGTTGGAGGATCGGTATTCGAGGGTCATGTTTTGTCTTGTGTGTGTGTGTGTGTGCTTGCCTTGGGTTTCCAGACTTCTTGAGAGGTCGGGGGTGTTGTGCCCACTCGTAAGCCTTTCGCATGGATCATTCGGGTTTAGTCTCTTCTGCGATGGTGACTCAGCTTAGGATGGGGACCAGGCGGAGGAGGAGAAGCAGAGGAAGGGAGGAGGAAGGGAGGAGGAGGAGGAGGCGTGTCCTCGGAGTGTCCTCACACCCACAACGGGTGGGCTGCGCCAACATCACGTCGGGGTGGGCGGCCCGCAGGCACCTCCTCGCCCGTGCTCTGCACATGACCGGCCTCCGAGATCACCGCACCACCAGCTGCTGCCATCCCATGTGCGAGGACGTCGTCCAGGTAATGGAGGATGGCGATGAATAAATGACCGGGGGTCGTGTTCACGCGGCGGCGCCCGGGATGACGATTAGAAAAAACCGGCCGCGGGCTGGAAAACTATTTTTTCATCGTTCTCCTCCAGTCAGAAAATTGTGCAGACATAGCAGAAACAATTTTTAAAACCGTATCTCCCATTTTTTTTACTAATCGTCATCCCGCATTACTCGCCGAGGCTGTCAAGCGTGTCGTGGCCGCCCCCCGCCAGCAGCACGCCGCGGCCCTCGGCCGGCGCCCCGGTGCCGTCGGAGTCCGCCGCCCCGACGGCCAGCGGCGCCTCGGCGAGCCTCCCGCCCTGCACCGTGCCGCTCGGGCTGCGCGGTGGTGCCTGCGCGGCCTGGCTCAAAATATCGGGGGTCCCCAAACGGGGTGGTGACCACACCGTGCGGTGAGTCGGTGGGGATTCGGGGTTCGGGGTCACCGCACGGTTTTGGGACTCGGGTCGTTCTCCGAGGATGTCTCGGGCGACAGGGGCCTCCGGGGTCCCAAGACCGTGCGGTGACGGACCGTGCGGTGAGGTCTTGGGGGGTTTCGAGGCCACCGCACGGTCTGTCACCGCACCGTTTCGGGACTCCCAAAAAGAGGAGCTCGCGCCGCAGGTGGGAGCCCAGCATGGCGTCACGGGGTGCTGGATCGGGGTGAGAGTTACCAGCCTGGAACATCTCCCTATCCCTATGTTTGACATCACCTCACCTCGATGCCGATCTTAAGGACTCCCTCAGGTTTTGAGGGCCTATCCCTGAGATTGTCCTCGCTTTTTGCTCGCCCATCTTAGGGATAGGGATACGTTCGAGGCTGCTCAGAGAGGGCCCGCCGTCCGCCCCGTCGCCCAGCGCTGCCGCCACGCTGGCCACGCATTGGCGCTGTGCCGGCAGAGCCCGTGGCGACGGGCCCCGAGTCGGCGCCCCCAGGGGCCGGCTCAGGCTTCGCGCTCCTGGAGAAACGGTTGGCGACGGGGCCCAGGGCTGCGCCCCGAAGGACTGGCTCGGGAGTGTGCGATGTCACGCCAGACAGAGAAGACCCGGCCGTCCTGGAAAAAGCGAAGCCGACGTCGCCTCCGAGAAAGATTGAGCCGCCGCCACCGAGCAGGGCTGCGCACCCACCTCGGTGTCGTCGCCGCTCGAGCCGAACTTGTACTTCGCGTGGGCTGGGTGCCGCGACTTCGAGGGTCTGAGTCCCTCCGCACCCAGCCCTGTCGTGCCTGAAGAACAGATGATGGCAGGGACCTGCCAGTCCGTGGCGAGGCATCGCCTGGCAGAGGCCACCGAACAGCGTGGTCGTGATGCCGGCGGTCCCCTCGCGCCGCGGTGAGGCCCCCCCCGACCGTGCCTCTCGCTGTGCTCGTGGCTCTGGCCTGTCCCCTGGGACGGCGAAGCTAGCCATCCTCCCCGCGCCAGGGGCAGCCCGCGCTGGCCCCCCCTGGGGGTCCCGTGAGCCGCCGTCGGGAGGCCCGCGCTCGAGGCATCCGCGCCATGCCCGCGTCAGGCCCGCCAGTGGGCCTCCGCCGTGCGCACCGCGCCGTCGGAGCTGCTGGCCTGCGCCAGCAGGCCACCGGCACGAGGAGGACTGCTTTTTTACCAGCCTGGAACATATTCCTGTCCCTATGCTGGGCACCTCCTCATCACGATGCCAATCTTAGGGATTCCCTTATTGTTTGAGGGCGAATCCCTAAGACTGTCATTGCCTTTTGGCGTGTCAATCTTAGGGATAGGGATACGTTCGAGGCTGGTAAGCTTTGCCCGCGCGGCCTGGAGGAGACGCCAGACCTTGTCTCCAGTGCCCTCGGCGCGAGCAGCATGATCAGCAGGGGCGCTCCCTGCCTGCGTCGCGCCCGCGTTGCTTGAGCCCGTCGAACCTGTGGACAGGTGTCTCGTCCATGACAGTGTCGCTCTGTCGCTCCTCGCGTCGCTGACGTCTGCTCCGCAGCCGCTCCTGCATCTGCTTGGCCTCCTCCCTGAGTTGGCCCAGCGCCGAGGCCGAGCCACCGTAGTGCTCCTTGACCTGGGCCCTGAGCTCCCCTGCAAACCGAGACTGGAGCCGCTCGAGCGCTGTGCTCCGCGGAGTCGACTTCGAGGCCGCTGAAGTCGAAAGCGGGGCCTGGATCGACGGGGAGTGTCGCCCTCGCTTCGCCGCCGACTGCTGCTGCGGGCGCCTGGAGAGCCACCAGCGCCTCCTCAGCAGCCTGCTGCGCCTGGCCGGGCTCCCGAGCCGCCTCCTCCGCAGCGGCCTTCTTTTGCAGGTGCCGCGCGCAGGACTTGCGCGCGCTCTCGACTGCCTTGTCCGTCGCCGCCTTGGCCCGCTTCTCCGCCGCAACCTCCCACTGGTGCTCCTGGCCAGCGTCGGGCGCCTTCGGGGCCGCAGGGGCAGGGAGGAGCTGCCTGATGCCCTCGATGGCAGACTCGTCGACGTGCGGGATGCCCTCGAGGAGCTCGAGGATACCCTCGAGGGCAGACTTGCCGACCTGTCGAGGCCCTGCTTGCTACCCTCGAGGAGCTGCATGACACCTCCATGGCGGACTCGTCGCTGTGCGGGGCCCGCCTCCTGAAGAGCAGCGAGCCGCTCCTCCCGAGGCGTCGGGGAGACCTCGGCCTGCCCGACGGGACGCCCCCGCGCTCTGCGACGGCGGCGGCGAGGGCGGGGCCGCCGGCCCCATCCCTGCCAAGCGGTCCTTCGTCGCCGCCGCTGCCGCACACGGGGCACGAGCTGCCCACGCCCCCCCATCAGTTTCACGCGTCTTGGCCCACGGAGGAAGCTCCAGGGGCTTGTCACAGAGGAAACGTAACAACGCTGTCTCCCTTTCCAGTTCCACTTGTAGGAGCACGTGCCGCAACGGACCTGCCCCTGAGGCTGCGGGACCATCGGCAGGCTGGAGCGCCGAGGCGTGCTTCCCAGAGCGCGAAGCTCGAGGGGGCGAAGGAGAGTCCCGTCTACGGGTGTGAGAACTGAGAACTGGCCGCGGACTAGCGGTATCCACTTGTTTCGGAGGGAAACGCAAGTTTTGAGCCGAAATGGCTACGGAGGGTGGACGAGGTGGAGGAGGAGGAGGAGGAGGAGGAGGACGAGGAGGAGGAGGAAGGGGGGAGGAGTGGGATAAGAGGAGAGGACAAGATGACGAGGAGTAGGAGGAGGAGGAGGACGAGGATGAGGATGAGGATGAGGAGAAGGAGGAGGAGGAGGAAGACGAGGATGAGGAGTAGGAGGAGAGGAGGCGGAGGAGGAGGAGAGGAGGAGGAGGAGGACGAGGAGGAGGATGAGGAGGAGGAGGAGGAGGAAAGGAGCACGAGGAACACGAGGAGTTGGAGGAGCAGGAGGAGCAGGAGGAGCAGGAGGATGAGGACGAGGGCGAGAGAGAGAGAGAGAGAGAGAGGGAGGAGGAGATGGAGGAGGAAAGGGATGCGTTCTGGGGAGCTCCGGGGGAACCATCCAGAGACGAAGCCGCGGTCGATGCTTCCTCGCAATGCATTCGAGAGCCACGCAGGGCGCCCCAGAGAGGCCTCACGGCGGAGGCCAGCGGAACGGGGCGGCTCCGCTGGCAGAAATCCGACGGAGAGCGGCAGAAGTCAACAGTCCCCAAGAGATGCTAGCATGTTGGGACTCATGGGTTCCAGGGCAACGCGGGTTCCTCGTGTTGGGGCGGACGAACGGGGGGGGGAGGGGGATGAGAGTTGTTGCATGCAGATGCATCTGGCCAACCTAGCCGACCAACCTTCCTCGATACATGGTCGCCCCAGCCAGCGCATGTGTGCGCCCAGAAAGCCAGCGGCACGTACGTAGCCGATTCGCTAGAACTCTTCCTCCCTTTGCTAGCCCCCCCCCTCCTCCACCCTGAGGCGAGGGAACTGAGTTCGGCTATGTCTGGCACATTCCCGCAGGAGGTTGTTTTTGCTCTCGAGGTTGGGACCATCGCCATGGACGGGGGCGTCCGAGCGTTGTCGCAGGATCCAGACCCGGGCTGAGGCACGCGGCCCTCAGGATCCTGACTCAGGCCGAGGCAAGCCGACGAAGCGGAGCGAGGTGTGCCGATCGAGGTCCTCGCCCGCCCTGGCCTCGTAGGGGGGGGGGGGGCGAAGCGCGCCGAGCATCGCCGGGCTCTCCCCTGCCGGGGCAGTCGTCAAGCCGCGAGCGGGCCCGCGCGCCCGCGTGTGCACGGGCCCGCCCGCGGGCGCGGTGCGGTCGGCGCCGTGGGGCCCTTGGCGAGTCACGGGCCAGCGCGTCGTGCGTGGCCAGCGCTGCCGGGCCTCGGTTGTACACCTTAGGCGATGCTTAAGGAAACTTAAGTTTTCGGCCAGAGTCTCGATTATTCTTAACGTTTCAATATAAATCCCAAGATTTTGATAGAAATGTTGGGTTTTTATTCAAGTTCTGAGACCATGAATTTCTTAACCCATGATTTCTTAACCATTTCGCGTGGTGTAGCGTCAGGCGCAACGCTAGGGGGGGCAGGCTCTGGGGGGTCTCCTGTCGGGCCGGACGCAAGGGGGGGATTGGGAAAGGGGGGGGTACGAACTTTGCTGCATGCAGCTGGTTTCGGCCTCACCGAGGGGCCCATTCCTCGGTACATGGCCGCCTCCGGCGCCGGGAGGCGCCGGGAAAATCAGCCACGTGAGCTGATTCTCAAACCCCCCCTTGGCTATCCCCCCCTTTCGCCCGACCCGATCCTGGCATCGCTCGGACGTGTGCATTTTTTCCCTGCGAGGACCATCGAGGAGCATTCTGGATCACCGAGCAACGCAAACACGCATGACAATCGAAACATGCACGGGGAATGTACGTCCGAGCGATGGCGAGGGCTGCATCGTTCGAGACCCTACCACCCACTCAGCGCCGGTAGGGGCCCGATGGCCCGACACGCTCAGGAACGCGTGGAGTCGCCATCGGGGGCCTATCGCCGATGCATCGTCGACTCCAGTCAAGGGAGGAAAAAACACCCGGACCCGACAATTGGCGTTCACTAAACGGCCCTGGGCGTTTACTAAATAGCCCCGCCCTGTTCGATTCCTTCTTCGGGTGCGTTTGTGCTAAACGGCTTCGTGTGTCGGGGTGATCATTGTGGGGGTGGATTTTCTGCTCTCTATCCAGGTCGCTGTTTTCCCTCCTCCCCTGAGCTGGCTGGCCACCCTACCGTTGCCCCTCAGAGCGGGCCAGCGTCACGATGGAGAGAGGGTGCGCGCGGGCTTGGTGGCGGCCCTGCACGCAGGCGCCTTCTTCTCCACCGCTGCACTCGCGTTGGCTTCGCCTCCGCGCGCCTTCCCGTACTGAGGCCCGACCGCTCCGCTGCCGCTGAATTTTCCTGCATCGCGAGTTGCCTTCGGCAGTGGTCCTAACCAGATAAGCACCCGCACCCCGTCGGGCCATTCTGGACAAGTGCGTTGACGCCGAGTTGCGCAAACAGTGAAGGGATGGGATGAGAAGATGATGGCAGTTATGCTGAGGCGATGTGCGCTAGACGGGCTACGGCGATGACGGCGAGGGCTAAGACTATTGCCGGAGCCTGGCTCCAGGGCCAAGCGTCAATTGTTGAGGCGGTTGCTCAGGTCAGGGCCAGAGCCAGGCCTATTGCTGGTTCTCCGGAGCTTCTCGGGGGCCTCACCAGGCCTCTCGGTGCCTTATAGGGGCCTCTTGGGATCTCCTGGGTGCTGCTCGGGGGCCTCTTGGGGCGTCTTTGGGGCTCTGTTGTTGAGCCATCTTGGGGCAGTCTTGGAGGCATTTTGGCAATCTCGGACTTGGAGCGATTTTGGAGGCCTCTTGGGCTGTTCTGGAGCGTTGGAAGATCTAAACGGCGAGAACACCTAGAGTCCTTCAAGCACACTAGGAGCATGTATTTGTGCATCGTTGTGCCCTCTTGGGGCTCCTCTTGGAGCCCTCTTGAGGCGTGTTGGGGGCCTTTTCGGGTGTCTTGAGTCCATCATGGGACGTCCACAAGGCGGCTCATGAGGACCTGTTGCCACTCCACTGAGCCTCGCGTCACTGTGGCGGATATTGGATGAATGGGGAGCTCAATCAGTGAACCGGCTTTCTACGGCTCGTCGTCATCGTTGAGCATGATCATGAGCATGGCCACATGACTAAAACAACAATTCCACCTTCGCATTAAACACACACACTCATGAATTACGCCTACCGTCTGGAGGCCTGTTCAGCTTTGCTCAGGACCGTTGGCCAAGCACCTTGGGAAATACGCCGCTCATACTCGGCTCTGTTTTGAGTGATTCGAGGCACGCACTCTCCACCAAAGGCCAAAAGCTGCTGCGAAACATCACAACCGCACCCTACACAAAACACAACTTCGGACGACTATGATACTGAATCTTATGACCAGCGTGAACAATGCCCCCAGCAATGGACACTTCGACAAAAGGGGACTTCGTATGTATATGCGTATCTATAGGTATAGGGACATATATATATATATGTATATATATATACACTATATCGGTATACGTTTTGTATGTGTAGATGTACACATATATATATATACATGCATATGTAAATGCACATCCACGTATATACGCACATAATATGTATATGCATATGCACATGTATATGTAGCTGTTTATGCTTATGGATATGAATAGGTATAGTTATGCGCCGATGTTTATGTATATGGCTATGTATATACTTATGTATATATATATATATATATATATATATATATATGTGTACGCATGTACTTATATGTGTATATATGTATATGCATGTGCATATGTACATGTATATGTATAAGTCTATGACTATGTAATTGTACATGTACATGCGTAGGCATATGTATAGGCTTATGTATTTGCATTTGCATGCGTATACGTGTACGTGTACGTTCACTTTTGTATTTATGTGTATGTGTATGTATGTTCGTACGTATGTTTATGCATGTCTGGTTTTACGTATGTATGTATATATGCATGCTCATGCATGCATGTAGTTGTATACGTGCATTGCATACTATATCGTACCATCTTTATACCCAAATTCACAGTTCTAGTTGCTTGGAGGGAAGCACGCGGTCCTGGGCCACGGTGTCCTCGTGGCCTTCGACGCGGACCCTCCGCACCTGGTGCATCTACACCCCGTGCTGTCCACAACTAGGGGACGAGGCGAGACGGGCGAGAGATACAGCAGCAGGGGGCGGACAGGGGGAGCGAGGGCAGGCAGACCTTTTCCACTTTCCTCGCTCCTCCTCCCTGCCTCCTCCTCCCCACATCCCTCCTCCTCCTCCCTCCTCCTCCCTCCTCCCTTGTCCCTCCTCTTCCTCCACCGAGAGGGGCGCTCAGCGAGATCTGGCAGCCATCGAATCAAGAGTGGCTCTGGGAATTCGCATCCGCACGGGACGAGCCACCTTCTCCCGCATGAGCATTTCGCGACGGACGGCCTCGGTGAGGCGGGCCTCGAGTGCCGCCTGTCCCGCCATCTCGTCAACAATCAGATGGCCTGCCACCATCCACCATGGAGCTCGGCCGTCCACAGTGTCCGTCGAAAAGGTATGAACTCACAACGGAGAAAGGTATGGCAGAAGATCTCGCTTGGCGCGCGCCCCGTGCGAGGAGAAGGAGGAGGAGGAGGACCAGCGTAAACCCAAGAGTCATCAACGATGTTGGAGTAAACCCTCCCTCCGAGCTCCCTCTCCAAGAGGCCCCTACAACGGTTCATGTCCATTGATGGAACTGCCTCGTTGGAAGACGCCCGTTTGAAGACTTCAACGCCAGCCGCATAACCCTGAATCCTTCCAAAACGCCAATTCTGTGACGCGGATGAGGGGAACCCGTGAAACCTTTGTTGCATTTTTTGAAACGAATGTGCGTTGCGCTGAGGCGAGAGCCGCATTTTGAAAACCACCCGCCCGTAATATGTGACGCCCTTGCAAATTTTACAATGAATGCACGCCGCGCTAAGGCGAGAGCCACATTTTGAAGACCGCCCTGAATCTGCGAATCTCTTGCACGTTTTAAAAGCGAATGTGCGCCGCGCTAAGGCGAGAGCGACATGTTCAAAACCACTCGCCCTCAATCCGTGAAGCTCTTGCAACTTTTAAAATGAATGCACGTCGCGCTAAGGCGAGAACTTTTCAAAACCACCCGCCTTCAATCCGAGACATTCTTGCACATGTTTAAAATGAATCTGCGCCGCGCTTGGGCGAGAACCACATGTTCCAAATCACCCGCCTTCAATCCGTGAAGCTGCTGCAACCTTTTTAAACATGAATGTGCGCCGCGCTAAGGCGAGAGCCACATTTTGAAAACCACCCGCCCTCAATCCGTGAAGCTCTTGCACATCTTACAATGAATGTGCGCCGCGCTAAGGCGAGAGCCACATGTTCAAAACCACCCGCCTTCAATCCGTGAAGCTCTTACAAGTTTTTTGCTTCGCTTATATAAAACGAGTGTACGCCGAGATAAGGCGAGAGCCAAATTTTGAAAACCCCCGCCCTCCATTTGTGACATTGTTGTCAAGTCTTAAGCTTCAGAGTCATGCGTGGTGAGGAAGTCTCAGGCGAAACGCCTGGCCCGCCGTAAAAACTGGCCTCGGGGTGCGATAGGGAGAAGTTAGCTATAAGGAAAAGGAATGGAGGAGGAGGAGAGGAGGAGGACGAGGGAATTTGAAGGAGAAGAATCAGGCTCTCGGAGGAATAGGAGGAGGGATATGAGGAGGAGGAGGAGGAGGAGGAGGAGCAGGATCAGGAGCAGGAGCAGGAGCAGGAGGAGGATCAGGAGGATCAGGAGGAGGAGAATGAGGAGGAGGAGGAGGAGGAGGAGGAGGAGGAGGAGGAGGAGGAGGAGGAGGAGGAGGAGGAGGAGCAGGAGCAGGAGCAGGAGCAGGAGCAGGAGCAGGAGCAGGAGCAAGAGGACGACGACGACGACGACCTCGCACTCCTGGTCCTCGCTCGGGAGCGCGCCAGGCGAGTGGATGCAGCTGGACGGCGAACCGTGGTACCTGGACGCAGGCCCGCGCACGGCCCTCCCCAGGGGGGGCTGTGCCCGGCGGCTGTGCTCCTTGCGGCCGTCATTCGGTCACCTCGAGGATCGGGGGTCGAGAGTTCTCCGTCGAGGATCACGGATTGGGGAGGGTGTCAGGGTCAGAGTCGAACGTCGAAGCTACCCATCGAGGTTCGGTGATCGTGGATCGGTGTCGGGGTCGTCGAGGAAGGAGGACCCGCGCGTGGGGGAACCGAGGATCGAAACCTTGGCCTGGCATCGCTCGGTCGTGTGCATTTTTCCTTCGGCGAGGACCATCGAGGAGCATCCTTGATCATTTGGCGAAAAAGCCACGCACGAAACTGAAAAAAGCACAGGGAAGGGACGTCCGAGCGATGGCGAGTTGGGATCCTGGGACCCAGTCGAACCTGGGGCAGTGTCATGGCGCCAACATCGCAGAGCGGATTTCGTTTGGAAAGCACCAGGATGGGCCCGGAGTGTCCTGGAGAATTTCGTCCCGGATTTCGAAGTGAATTTCGGGTGGATCTTTTTGGCCAGGAATGAAGATTTTACAACATCCACATGAGATTCACTTCGTGTTTCGCTCGCTGTTTTGGGGTTGTGCATCGACAGACATCGTCGCAAACATCCGCTGGAGCACGCCTGCAAGGGCGGTGCAGTGATGGGCTCCTCGTGTTCTGTTCAGCAGCCTTTTCGATTCTCTTGGGATGCTCTTGGCCTAAACGGGGCTCCCGAGGGGCAGCCGCAGGCCTCTGGCGGCCTCCGGCGCTGCGTCGCCAGCCGCGGGCGGGGGGTTTGAGTCGGGCCTGTCCCTCTGCAGGAGGAAGACTCAAGAATAGTCAAAACATAGTCTGGGGACGTTTTGTTGTTTGTTTTTTTGGTTCCTATAAGAATTTGTTAATGTTTCTTTTTTTGGGGGGGGGGCTATTTTTAGTTTTTCGTCTAGAACCCGCCTGTAGGGCGACATGCCCGACCTAAATCGAGAGTCGAAGTTCGGTCGGATGCGTCGCGTTACACGTGGTCAGCTCGGTTCGGTCGGTGCGTCGCGTTTAGCGTATCGCCGCGCCCCTCCATGCTGAATCCAGTCTTCTGGTCAGAGCTTGAGTTGCGTACCCCGCTGTCGCTTCCAGGCAAACACAAGCCATACCACGCCCCCAAGGAGACCTCCAACGGGCCCCAAGGAAACCCCCAAGAGGCTCCCAAGAGGCCCCAAGGAGACCTCCGCACAGCCGCCCGCACTGGTAACAGGGGGGCCGGCGGCAGAGGGCGAAGCCCTCAAGATCCGCCCGCTCCCGCCCCTGCGGGAGGGGCCGTGCGAGACCACGCTGACAAAGTGCCTGGTAGGATTCGCCTGGGCCTGGTAAACAATCTCCCTGAAGTCCCTCCTCTGGGCCTCCACTCTGCCGGCGGTCCCTCGAAGACCCCCCCGAGGCGAAGCTTTCGAGAAATCCCAAGGGCCCCACGACGACCCCAAAGAGCCCCAAGACGGCCCCCAAAAGGGTCCAAGAAGGCTCCACTTCGCCTACAGACCGCTTTGAGACGCCCAAGATGACCCAGAGACGGTCCACGTGGCCCCAAAGACGCCCCAAGAGGGCTTCAAGAGGCCTTCCAAGAAGGCCCCGAAAGGCAAACATCGTTCCATTCCTATGGGGAAACGCATACTTCTAGCATGTGCGACTGTTGGGATTCTGAGCGTCCACGACGGGCCTAGAGGCGCCCAAGATCGCCCGAACATGGACTCATAGGCCCCGAAGAGGACCCCAATACATCACAAAGCGCCCAGAGACTGCCCAAGAGGCGCCCAAGACGGCCGAAGACAGCCCCAGAAGGGACCTAGACGGGCCCCAAAAGGGTCCAAGAAGACTCCACGTCGCTTACAGACCGCCCCAAGACGCCCAAGATGGTCTTGAGACGGTCTACGAGGCCCCCAAGACGCCGCCAGAGGGCTTCAAGAGGCCTTCCAAGAAGGCCCCGAAAAGGCAAACATCGTTCCATTCTTATGGGGAAACGCATACTTCTAGCATGTGCGACGTTTGGGATTCTAAAGGCGCCCGAGATCGCCCAAGACCCCCCCGACGTCAACGGATCCAGGGCCCAAAGACGACTCACGAGAGCCCCCATACGGCCCCCACGGCAGTCCGAGAGAACGCCGAGTCAGCGACGGATCGCTCCAAGACGCCAACATAGCCGCAAGACGGCCCACGAAGCCCCGAAGACGCCAGAAGAGAGCCTCCAGAGGCTTTCCATGACGGCCCCACGAAGCAACATGCGTCCCATTCCTTCAGGAAAGCGTAGATTTCGAGCGTGTGCGACTTTTGGGCCCTCAGAGTGTCCGCGGCGAGCCTACAAGCCCCCGAGATCTCCCCAAGATCGCCCCAGAGACCCCGAAGATGGCTCCAAGACGTGCCAAGACGGCCCCAAGACGGCCCAAGACGCGCCGAAGACGGCCCATGATGGCCCCAAGAGGGCCCTCGAGCCAGAACTCGAAATTACATTTGTAGCTTTCTGCCCA